CAGTAGGCGATGTAGCAGATAGCAATAGCCACCCGGCACTTTGATGGCTACGTGAGGGCAGCCGGCTACAGCCAGCAACGGAGGCAGAAGTCCAAAATAAGTAAAAATTTAAAAACAATGTGCATTGCATTAAAGATGTGTAATGCAGGCCAGTGGTCCAATTCGAAAGTTTGAAGAACAAATGGTAGCTGAGGTTGATAGAGGGTGACAGAGGCGGAGAAGCGGCGAACAGTCAACGCCAGCGTCCTCTCCAGCTGATTCAATGGTTTCCCGTAATACGAGACTAATAGGTAACACAGGGTGAGTATCATTTTGTGGGTGAAGTCATTTTAATTTCGGTTTCATTTTGGGTGTGAAGCAGTGTTAGAGACGAGCCAATACACAACCCGTATTCTATTGGTTAGATTTAGATAACCACCAGCTTATATAACTGTAGTAGCATAGAGCTGAACTGATGATGAACATGTATGGTAGGAATAGGTTATGCATACATTCGCTACTGATACTAGTTAAAAAATTATCAACCAGCCCCTATATGTCTCATTAACTCACATCAAAGAACTTCATGCCGGGCTTGACGATGGCAGCGATGTTGGCAGCAGACGGACACATGGCCTCCAGCTGCTCGTCAGTCAGAGAGGGCACACCTGGACAACAACACAGTTAATACACTTGTACTAACACCTATTGCACATGTACACACTGCTCATGAAGGTATGTGATCGAAATACGTGTGTTCTTACAGCAGTGTTTGCCAGCGGCCTTCATCGTGGCATTTTCCAGCTCTTTCTCCATTTTCTTGAGCTTCTCACTGAGTTCTGCCTCAAGCCGCGTCTTCACTTCTTCTCCCTCTGACACCTTCTTCTCTAGAGCCTTATTGGCTGCAGAGAGAGACAGTGAGATCAATCACATATGAATACTTCTATGCTTGACACACTCTTTAGTTCATTATAAACAATTATCAGTGAGACATGAGTGGAAGGGCGTGGATCAGGTTCCCTCGTCTCAGAAACCAGATTTTTTTTAAAGTATTTGGTTAGAAGCCTGAAATTGCTTCTTGCCTGTAAGGCTGAGAATTTTCATGATGGTGAATAGTTTCACAAAAGAGAAACTATTCAGAAATGAATAAGATGGATTAAGTGTAGCAGACATGTGCAGGTGTAAAATACTTTTTCTAAACTTGTCTACCTTCCCCGCTGTCTTTGACCAGCTTGCTGAACTCCTCCACCGCTCTGCTCAGTTCCTGATTCTTTGTCTCCGTGTCTGCCGCTGACCCCTACAGGGAGAACACACACATCGCTTTAATACACACGTGGAAAAACATGACAAAACTGAAAGAATAGAATATATTTAGAATAGTATAATATCTATGTCAAGTGCCCTGAAGTGATTCTTACTTTGTAAAGAGAAGACAGCTTCATGTGAGCGTTGAGTTCACTGCGGTATTTCTGCTCCATGGCACTCTGCTCGTCTTTAGACTGGAGGGACATTCACATCATAAACAATTAGCTACTCTACATATGTTTCTACATATTTCTAAGCTGCCCTTACTAATCTCATTTGTACTTGTGTTTTTTGCTCATGATAACATTTCATATTTCCTGTACATTTTAAGTTAAGAGTGAAAAATCAATACTGAAAGAAAATAGTTATATTTAAGTCTCTATAGCACTCGTTATGGTTCTTTCGAAATATGTATTTCTAGCTGGACATGCCTCAGAGCTTGCTTTAAGGACCTGAGGGTCCTAACAGTGGTGCGAGGACCTTCAGCTCTCCTGCTGTACATACTCTGAATGAAGCTCATGGCTGAGACCACAGTGTGTGTTTGTATTACCTGCTTCAGTTTGTTGTTCAGATCGTCAGCTCTTTTACTCTGGCTTTCCCTGGTTTGCTTCAGAGCGGTCAGCTGGCTTTCCAGTCGGGTCACCTGCAGAAGAGAAAACAGATTTCAAAAGCCTGATAGGATGCCATGCTTCACTATGTCTTTCTTTGTAATGAGTCATTTCAATGAAACGTGACATCAGAGGGCAGAAAGATCAGATTTGTGTTGTGTCCCTTGATTTGTTTTCTTCTTGCAATTGTTCTATCCCTTAGATTTAGGGAATATACTTTCGTTCTGTGAACATTTACATATATATTTATGCTTGTTGATTTTTGCAATACTTTGACTTTTAATTGATATACAATAATACACCAAAGCGAGCTCTATGTATGTTAAAACCTACTAGAATAAATCATTTGGATTCTATATTCTACAATGTAGCTGGTTTGGCTCAAAAGACACAAACAACATTTTAAAAGCCCTGAAGAATGAACATAAAGTAGCCAACTGACTGGCCGTTTCTCAATCTCGAGGAAACTGGCTTCCAAGCCAATATTTCAAGGATGCTACGTCATCGAGTGCCGCCGAAGGACTGTTCCAATGTCCAGCATACTTGGAATTCCACCGAGGCCGCGTCCTTGGTTTGGGGGAAATTTCGAGGCTGCACATGGGTAGACTTTGCGTACTTAAAATCCCCACAATGCTTTGCGCACGGACCAATTTCAAAAACCCTTGCGGAGAATGGCTGAACCGACGCAGCACACATTTAAATGTAAGTATGTAGTGGCGGTAAATGTGTTGGTAAATATGTTACATTTGTTACATTTGTTTGTTATCACCAAAAATGTGTTTCGTGAAAGTAAAGCAAGTCCATAATTAGATAGACATCGTGAGGTATTTATTTTCGGTACAGTTTATGTTGAAACCGTTAGAGAGAGTGGCACACTTGTTAGTCTGTTCCATTCTTCTTAGTTTTCCGAAGCCGTGGCTTGGAAGCATACTGGCTTCGTTTCTGAACGAAGTGACTTGGAAGTACGCGACTACCAAGCCAGCATCCTCGCGATTGAGAAACGGCCACTGTCTCATATTCCATCCAGAAGGCTATGTTCACAGAGAGGAGAACAGCACACACACTGTCACATTGACATGTGTTTTACATTCCAAAGTCAGTGGTATTACTAGCTGCATATATCCCAAACTGTGCTGAGTTTGTGTTTAGACTGTTACCTGCTCCTTGGCGTTCTTCAGACCTCCCTGCAGTTCCAGTATCTCTTTGCCTTTCTCTCTGTTGGTGTTCAGCAGCTCTTCAGTTTTGGTCTTCAGCTGTTCTGTTAACCAGGAGATTTTCTTCTCGTGCAACTCTTTCTCCTGCTCCATACGCGTCTCTCGGTGCTAAATCATACAAACCCAAATAGCAAATGAACAATCTGAGCTTTGTGGTTTGCACTGTATCTACTATTATGCAGAAACCTCATTTATGTACTGAGGATTCGTGATCAATGGATCAGTTATACTCTTTTAGACCTTGCATAAACATGTCATCTGATTGCAAGTGGACTACTTGTGGTCACATCACAAAACAAACGCACATTAATATTAAGCCGAACAGGGACATGTTTGATTCAGAGTCTTTGTATCTGCTTTGGCAACTTATTTGTGGAGATGACAAGCCATAAACATGCTGTTTTCTCATTAGTAATTGGAAACACAAACAAATACAACAAAGGATTAGCCAGACAATTTGCATATCAAAATATATACACACTTTAGAGAAAGCTGCATTAGATATTAAGAATGTAACTTCTGTTAGAAACACAACTTACTTTGTACTTGAGAAGATTTGTGTGTTTTTGTTGTTTTTAACTTGTTCTTATTACAGAACCAAGAGTTTAATTGAAGCGAGCCTCTAGTGGTCATTTGTAAGACTGAAGCTTAATGCATTTAGACAAGAGTTGTTATATTGAGACGTTGTTCTTTTAATGAAGTGTAGTGTGTACCTGTACAGAAGCTTCAGATGACTGTATATTGTCCAGTTTTAGCTGCAGCTCCATCTTCACCTTACTGGTCTCTGTCAGCTTCTCATTCAGACGCTTCACATCCTCTGCAAACACACAAAACATGAAGCTGAAACACTAACAACTCATCTGAATCAAGCGCCTACGTATACAAGATGTAGTCTCTGCTTCAGATTGCATATCTTCTTATGAAAACAGATAATGCAGTATTAACAAGCAGTGCTTTCAGGTTAGTTTGTTAAAGCTGACATCTCACCAGAGAGGTTTTCCACATCCTGTGTTCTCTTCTCCAGCAGCCTCGCCAGCTCTCTCTTCTCCGCCTCAATCTCATACCTGGCCTTGGTTTGCTGTACACACACACATAACATAAAGGAATTTAAAACTGCCCATACTTTTAGAAAATGTTAAATATTTGGAATAATATATATTGAATAAGTTTAATAGTCTCAATTTGTATACTGCAGGGTAGCTTGTGAATTTAATCCAGGTCGAACTAAAGTCTGATTTAAGAGTTGATTATATTTCACATCATTCATCCAGATCTAAGTAACTAAAGGTATTAAATACATGTAGTGGAGTAGAAGTACACAATTTACCTCTGAA